CATAAAGGGTTCTCAATCCGTTCTCGGTCCCACTCGTGAATACATAGGAATGCTGTCTTTTCCGATCAGGATCGTTGGGATAAATGAGACGCTTTATTGCACGCAGAACGAGGGTCGAATCAAGCGGGAATCCGATCTCAACGAGCTCAGTAGGGCGGAAAGGGTGACAGGGAAGAGTAAGTAGCGCGAACTCGATTCCTGAGTCGTTAGCCCGAGCGGAATGGCCGCTCGAGTTCAAATCTCTGAGTCGACTTCGTGTGATCTTTATCGCGGAAGCTCTGTTGTCAGAGTCGGACCTGTCGATTGTCCTGGCAGCGGCTCAGTTTCCGGCCAAGAACCAGAGCGATCAGCGCTCGCAGAAGAATGTCAGCGTCTGTATAGATATTCCGACTCGAATTCACTACTCACCTCAGAGAAAATACCGGCTCTCGTGAAAAGTGAATACAATGGATATTTCCATCGACCGTAGTCGGGAGAGCACACCGCTCGCGAGGGCTCCGCAGTGATTGGAACGAGAGTCGGGAGAGTCGCTGTCGTTTGGTTTATCCGAGAAGATTGTCGTCGAGCCTCGGGAGCTGAATTTTTCTCGTTTCGGAATTCGATTTCCGGTCCGAGAAACAATTCATCCGGTAACCGATCGAATCAACACCTGCCCGAGTGACTCGGTGAGAGACGAGCGATCCAATGGAAATACGACGGTATACCCCATGCGTGCGAGGCACGCGTTCGAGCTTCCCGTCAGTAGCTCACCTTGCTCGCTTGCATGGTCCCTCCGCTACAGTGGGCGAGGGACACGGATGTCTATATAGCACGCTGTGCCTCTTCGAGGCGCACTGGTGCCTGTTCCACTAGAAAAAAACCGTCTCACGTTCTATCAGTCGCGTTCGCGTCGTTCCGTCGTCGGATTTCTCAGTTTGGACCGACAAGAGTGAGTATGAGAAGTCCTTTCACGGATAACACTCGGACCGCTCGATATCCGTCCGCTACAATTATCGTTACCCAGTCTTCTTCACCAACGCGATCGGATATCCTACACGGGAACCAGAAATTCCGAATTTCCATCCTATGGGAGATGGGAAGCCAAAGTTCAGGATAAAAACGCAGAGTGGGCTTACTTTAGGGCGATTTGGACGGCCGAGCGCGGCGCTACAGTGATCTCTCAGTTCTGGAAGTGATTCTAGCATATAATCATCAGTCTCTAAACCCATCCGGAAAAAAACTTCTCGGGAACTCCGGGCTTTTCCTTACTCTTAGGAAGGTGAGGCGACGCGACGGACGGACTCGAGATTCGACAACGCGTCAAGAAATCGTCGGTTCGATGCAATGCATTTACCTTGAAACCTTCCGGCCGCCGCCTCGAATGTCAAGCAGCGCTTAGTATGCCGCTCCCGTCCGCGGTTTTGAATGTTGTCTACCAGTATCCGCCCGCTTCATTCGAGCAAACTCTAATTTCATGCCTCATGTCCCCGACACATGGCTGCTAGCCCGGAAATATTCCCCAAAATAAGTGATTTGCTCAACTGACCAATTGAATGTGTTCTAGTACTTCTATGCGAATCGTCAGGATTTTATGGATGATCGTCGAGACTTTCCCCGTCTTGATCGCCGGCTCAACAGCGCGCAACATATCAAGCATGCTTGCTGCACATCATAAAACACACTCCGGAAATATGTACCTAGTTCCTGATACGATTGTTGCCGGTTTAGAGTCGACCACTACCAGCCACTGTTTAGAAAACGAGCGGATGGAAAAATGAGACCGCGCTCGCTTCTCCTCCTCCAGAAGAGGACTGTCACGCGAATAAAGACAGACGATCGTTACCCTATCTTTCAGTCCATCTGGATGCTGAGAGTTTGACGCTCCGGTCGCCAACACCCTTCGTGGATGGAGATAGAGATAAGTGGCGCTCTCGACCGCTGCCGAGTCCGAGCTGGATGATGCTGCTAGTCCACGATAAATTTCGCATTCGACCTTGATGGGCCGATGTCGATTTCTAGACGTGAAGCATTCTGTCGCGTGCTTCGTGTCACTCGAGTGCCGCAGTCTTTTTCCCCGCCCTCTGGCAGGGCATCCGTGCCCGGAGTGCGATTTTAACCGGATTCCGACCGGCTCTTTATTCTGACTCCGTGCGTACATAGCAAGACTTGTGAAGTTCTCTTCGATCCCTTGTTACGAGCCCGAGAGCATCAATCAGAATCAGAATACGCGGACCCCAAGGCGGGAGCCCTCTGTTTGAAACTGGCTGCGGTGATCGAATCGAGGCTGTCACCCCCTCTCGCTCAAAGTCCGATTAAAGTTCCTCACGACTCACGTCGAATCCGGTCCAGAAGGTGCAAGCATGAACACGCTCGGATCGCGAAGACTTCACTCCGAATGGGCGTTCGCACGCACTTCTGGATCTACGGGCAGAAGCTTCACGCACCATCTCAAGGGGAAATAATTCATTTAGCGAGGAACAATGAGTTCGACACAAGTGTGGACAAGTCAGCGGCCTGTCCGGGGGACAGACAATGCAAGATATGAATTAAGTTCATATCTGTAACAATGCTCTCTTTCGAATTTCTCTTTATATCCACGAGGACGTCCCCGACGCGATTCCGAGCTGGAGACTATTGATCAATTTTCCAAGGAGAGAAACTCTCCGATCCGCTATTCTTGGAAACGTCTAAATCGATTTGAGTAGGCTAGTAATCTTCGCTAGTCTCAGACACTGTCTTATGAAGCGACATGTACTCGCGAAAAGAGTCCAGGCGGTAGGAATAAATGCCGCATCACTCATTCTCGCGTTGGAAGCGAAGAGAGCTCCTAACTAAGATGTGTCAATTTTTCCTCTCTCGTTTCGCCTTCGAATTCCGGAAGGTTACGCCCCAGCGACAGAAACGCTCCTAATTTCTGACATGCAGATGTTCGAAACTCAATGACTTTTATGGATCCTTCCCTTCTACCGTCGTGAATGATCTCCAGAAACTTCCCCGGCTCCGTCAAGGTTTTCTTCCTATCGAATGACTGTCCCCCTGGAAGAGCCCATGGTCAAATCAGTCACAAAAAATACACTCGACTTCTGAATAGGCTAATTGTGAGTCATCGAGATCCCGTCGCTTCTCGAAGGGAAGGAAGGAAAACGCTTTCCTGCCGCTTCCGAGAATCCCAGATCACGCAGTGTCATCCATGAAGAATAAATTGCCACATTTATCGATGGTGATCTGCACGTGATGCCCATCCCGTCGTAGCTTCCCCACCCCGACCGTCTTCCGTCCATCTGCCGGAAGAATAGACGACAAAGAGAGATCTAGAAAAAAGAGCCTGAGACGGGGCTCTGATTTTCGCTCGAGACCGATTCCGATGCGCAATGCTGGGCGATTTTTCGGAACAGTGTCTCATCCGGTCGACCATGTTCGATCGCTCGGGCGAACATATATTCGAATGGTCCACCCGCTGTCCTCCGGCTGCGCTTTGGCTTTTGTCAATCTCTCACTCACAGAATTTCCACGCCGCACATTGTCGTCGCCTACTCCCGGGAGCATAAAAGTATACCGCTGAATCATGGCTGCTGCGGACGAATGCTCTTCGAAAATTTTGGAAGGGTCGCGTCAGGCATCAGGGAGATTCTGCTGAGATTTTCGAAAAAACATACTCTTTTGATACATTGCTTATGCATCAAACTTGACAGCTGATTCCGCCATTCCGGAGTGTGCTGACTCTCACGAGACGCCCGGTTCCGCTGATCTACAGAGACATTTCGCGGCTCGATATCATTTTTCGATCCCTGCAAGAGACTTTGGATAACAGCTCGGAAGGGGAGCACCTTACTGTGCTTTGGCAAAACCGGCGACAAAAAGCCCCTAAGCCCTGCGAGACTAGCCGAAACGATCATCACCGATTATTCTACTCGCTCTAATACAGTGACTTAAGACGTTAGAGTGAAATATTCATTCGCAGCTGCTGTTTTCACGGTGTTCATTATGTGGACCAGCAATAATTTTCGCTAAGCAATTCAATCAGGGAAGAGCGCTTGCGCGCTCCACCCACGATTACTGATGCGGTTGTTGACTTCCATTTGGCGAGATCCAGGGACACGTTGGCTCTAAGTGATTCTGGATGAGCCGGACGAACCTGTATTCAAGTTCATCCAGGAACGTCAGTGGAACCTTGACTGGTATCGAAGAACGCATATATTCGAGCTCGTTCTACGAAACGTTTACTGTCCCGACCCTTCTCGGGGACGAATTATCGTTCTGAACTGTCGAAGTTTATCGGAAGATTCCTCTTGGTCTGAGCGGGGGATACTAGTTTGATTAGCGCGGGTAGGTGAGAGGTGACCGAGCAGGTGAGGCCTATGAGGACTTCCTATGAGTGACCCGAAGTCAAGATCGGTAATGATTCAGTCAGAATAGGAAGGAACCTACCGTTTCATCGAGTAAGAGGATCTTCCGTATCATGGAGCGAACGACGGTCCAAATCGTTCCGTTTCAGATCTGCGGTAGCCCGAATCAGTGATTGAGACTTACGATCTGGAGATTATGAAATACCGAACTGAATTTGCGGTCAGCTCTCATTCATTCCCCCAGCGGTTCATGGTTGGCCTCAAGAATTGACACAACTCATGAGAGATCCTGGAGAGGAGACATTCGTGTGAAAGCTCCAGGAACTCTTCGGGGTGTGTTTTATCCGCTTGACAGCGAGACGAGTCCACGTTTTATGGATCCTCGAGTGGCTCCCGACTCACAGGATCCCGTGGATCCGGTTGCTCGCAGTTCGGTGGCGTCGACTCATAGGCGATCACGCGGGACATCAAGTCATGGAATACGCCAAATCGAGCATGGGGCGGACGTCATTTGGACGAGGAAAACGTCTGGTAGTGCTAATTCACGCAAAATGGTCTGTGCCTGCTCATGTCGAGAGAGGGCGCTACTCCCCTTGCAGTGTGGCTCTTCTGTGAGAGTGGTGGAGTTTGCTTCAACAAGTGCCGACCAAGCCGAGCCCTTGTTTGACAGCACTCAAGCGCAGCCACCGATACGAGAGCAATGTCGGAGGAGAAGCGCGTGTACGTCAAAGTTTGCAGGTAGCTCTCCTACTGGATTCCTGAGTCATCAGTCGCGGAAGAGGGGCTCGCGACCCCGCCCCTCGGATGAGCTGCTCCGGGACACACCGAATAATTTACTACGGCCTCACTCTCCGATTTGGAAAAAATCGCTCCCTTCGATCGTCCAGTCACAGCCGCCAGAGCTCGATCCGTCTGGTTCACGACCCGATCCGTCTAGGTTGAACGATCAGATGTTTGACGTTTTTTTTCATTTACAGCTCGGACGAAGGCGAGTCGGCGGAACCTGCACCGGAACCGATCAACGAGCAACCCCTGAGCATGGGGAAACGAACACTGCAGACTCTATGCGGCGCTTCGGAGGTGTCTTCCGATCAGACGCTCTGGAAGTGTCTTCTGGCGGAATTCATCGGTACAGCTACATTGGGTAAGTTAATCTCTCAGAGACCGACTTCCTTCTCAATCCACTGCTTTTTCGAGTGGATTGGATTTCGGGTCAGATTACCTGCTATCCACCCAACGGCTGCTAGTCAGGTAACAGCGGACTGTGCTCTCATGTCGGTAAACTGTCAACGGGATCGAAGGTTGAAATGCTTCCGCTGTCCCATATAGCATTTTCAAGTTGTCGAATTGCTTGGAGACTCTTAGAGCTCATCATGCAGAGTCACGTGTCGAGATGAGGAGATGGCCCGCATCCTGACTCCCGCCGGGGCTGGAAAGTTCGAGGGTTGCTCTTCGGTTGAAAGAACGACGACACCGACGTGCAGAATCGAAACTCGGGCAATGTGAGAGTTGAATTCAGTTGTTCGCGAAAGCATTCACGAGACGTTTCTGAGTTGTGAAATATGTCATTGTGGAATTCCAATATGTGTCTGCGGGATCCCTCGAACATTCGTGGTCTCCACAAGAACGCCCCGGCAAAGTTGCGATGTTTCTAAAAAGTCATTTTTGCGTTGATCGATTGATACGTAGATCGATGCTTTGTCGTAGGTAGGCTCGAGTGTGTTCCGAGTCGTGTGGCAGCATGACCGGCTCGATGGCTTCACTGACAGGAGCTGTCGTCGCCACGCCAGTCCATCAAAACGAGCCTCCCGTGTCTCGTGTCGTTTTCGCGCTTCCACGGGTTACGCGCACAGATGTGTTGCTCTTTTCGATGATTTTCGGTCTACGTTGTCGCCCTGGGGCTGATCGACGAGACCTTGAAGGACCCCGATGGATTTTTAGTTTCTTCCTTGCTTCATACCGCTTATCTTGCCGGGAATCTTCCTCCATGGAGTTAGCAATCATTCTGTGGAGAATTTGGAGTTACGAATCCGGACAATGGGTCTCGACCGCATTCTGCCCAACCGGTCCTTTGTGTATAGGAGTCCCGCTGGAGGTCTGAGCCGATGTTTCCTCACCGGAATCCATCAATGCGACAGTCGACGGCAGCTTCTGGAGCGGTTCTCCTCCTAATTCATTTCAGATCCTCAGCATGGTAGTGGGCACTTTTGAGAGATGCTGGGAAGTCCCTGCAATTGAAAGACAAGGAGTGTATCCTCTTCGCTCGTAGCTCTCCTCAGAGAGACACGCTCCGCGTGTTCTCCACGAGGAGCTTCTTCCTCGAGGAAACATGTGCCCTGCGAGGAGCTCGGCCGAATCTCCCGATCCAAATGTCGGTTATCTCTCCGTCTAAGGGAAAGGTTCACTGCTGAGAGGGCTCTGTCTCGTTCTTCGGCTGTTGGGTCTGCGATACTTTATAGCCATCTTGCCGGAGTGGCTCACGGTCCTACGATGAGTCTAGCGATCCGAAACTCTGGCGGTGTTAAAAGCAAAACTTGTGGATCTTCGAGGCTGTCGCTCCAGCGGGTGGTGCACCTGATGGAGTAAATAGTTGACACGAGCAAATAACAGGTTGGCAGTACTTCGTAAATTCGTCACCCTCGTAGGACACGAGGGTTGCGACATAGAGAATATCGCTCGATGGGTTTCCAGCGCATCGAAACTGATCTCCCGAAGCGGGAATCCGAATAGCGGTCTTAGGTCACAAGTAGAGCTTCGATGAAACCGGTGATTTTGATATAACAAGCTCTCTGTAGACGCCTTCGGGAAGTTTATATTAGGATTTCATTGTTGACGCAAAAAAAATCCGGCTCACCGACCATGATTTAGCAAGCACCAGAGCCTATGGAATTAGTCAGTAGCGTGCAACGAGAAGCGGGATGTCCGGTTTTTGAAGCTCCAGTCATTACTGTTCTCGTGAAAATCCATCGATTCAGAGCATTCGCCGAATAGATGAGAAACAGTTTTCAGCTGGGTAAATGTATTTGTGTATCGTCTTCACAGTCCTCATCGCGTGCGGAAGCTGCTATGGAGTGACGAGTCCAACATCGGAAGCCGTGGTCCGCATCGCCTTCGGCTTCGGCTTGGCGGTGGCTTCAGTAGCGCAAGCCGTTGGTCACATATCGGGCGGACATCTGAACCCTTGTGTCACAGCAGGCATGCTTGTGGCTGGTAATATCTCATTCGTGAAAGGCTTTTTCTACGTTTGTTCTCAATGCATCGGAGCGATTACGGGTGAGATGCTCAGAAATTCGAACATCTGATACCCGAGCAAAATTACATGTCTGGCTCGGACACGGAATCAACCTGGAACGACCGCGAAGGAGTTTGAAAGCGGGCGATCATCTCAACCGTATTTAATTGGAAATATAATTTCTTGGCGTGAAGGTGCGGCTATCCTGCAAGCTCTAACACCCGCTGGGTTCGGTCTCGGGGCAACCTCGTTGGCCAAAGACGTCACTCCCCTCATGGGGTTCTTCATCGAAGCCACGATTTCATTCGTCCTCGTCCTGACCGTCTTCGGAGCGACTGATGGTAACCGACTCGATGTTCTTGGCTCAGTCCCTCTGGCCATCGGGCTGTCGATCACCGTTTGCCACCTATTCGCAGTAAGTTGCGTGGACTTCACTCAAGTATTCATTGGATCATGAGAAGGTCCGGAATGCGATGATTTCCGGTCTTGCCATGCTCCTATTCGAAGAGTAATGATTTCCGATCGAACTCTCTTCTAAAATTTGGAGTCAGAATTGAATGATTGTGCTTCCCCAGATCCCGCTGACAGGGGCTAGCATGAATCCCGCGAGAACCTTCGGGCCCGCTCTGATCCTCCAGAATTTCGAAAATCATCACGTGAGTATAACGATTTCTATTTCTCGCGCGATGGACCACAGGAGGTTTCCCAGGCGTACCTCAATGAATTCGAGATGCAACGATTACGTCAATGAGGGAGATAGTGTGTCTACGAGGGGAAGCACGAGCCGGAGGAGCGCAAACATTCCGTCCGTATTCGCGCAGCTCTCGCTGGGTCTGGATGAGGTTTAGTGCGGATTCCGGTCAAGACCTTTCGAGGCGTTCCTCGATCGGAATCTGCTCCTGACGTGATGTCCAGATCCATCGCGGAGCTACAACTAAGATTCCTGTCCCCGCAGCGGTCTTGAATTGATCGGGTTATGCATCGGAATCTGACGTCTCATGCAAAATCGATAGGCTTCTGGCGATTATCGGCGATATATCGAAGCTTCGCCGAGCAGAAATGTCCAATCTCCCGATTATATCAGCAGCACATCAAATCCGCAAATTCAGTGTTGAATGCTAAAGCATATCATCAACGGCTCGTAATTAGGGGAACTCCTCCTGCTCCGGAGTCGATTGGCGATCTCACGATCCCTTCGAAGGAGTACGGTGCCTCTTGGCCTCCACAGAAAGAAACTCCGTACGCTATTCTGCTCCTTCCGACCTAGAGAGCCTCTTCCTCAGTCGATTGGACTCGCAACATTCCTGACTCTTGAAATCCCGGGAAGACGGTTCTGAATGCAGCCCAGAATCAGAGAACCCCCCGTAACGGACGAAAAATCCGTTCTGCCACATGAGGCCGGATACGAGATCACGTTGTCTATCCAGTCACGAGATCGACCGACCGAAGTTCAAGAGTATTCCTACCTACTGAGAAACGCATTTTACAGATTTATTGGCTCGGCCCTCTCCTCGGTGGCATCTCTGCTGGGCTCGTGTACCGCTATGCTTTCAGCGCCCCCAAACCAACCGTGGACGAGTTGGAACGAGCCGCTAGAATGTGCTGTCTGGCCAAGATGAGCGGCAAAGAAGGTGATAATGGAGTGACTTCTTTTTGAGAGATTGGATCAGCGCCTGGATGAGGAATGATTGACTCTTCGATTGATTGATCGATTGACTGTTCGAATGGCGTTCACGAATTGCAGTAGAGGCGTCGTCCGGAATTTGAGCACGATGGCACTCTCGGACGAATGCTCCAAGAGCATCTCTACACATCTACACAGAACACCCTAACACTGCATTTGCTAAACACGAAGACGAGCTGAGAGCCGACCTCTGAAAAGAATGCTCGGAAAGTCCGCGACCGTCTCAGAAGCAGTCGAGGCACCCTCAAACGATTCACGGCAATCACTTGAAGCCAAATTCGAACCAATGATCATTGTATGTATACCTAGTTCCTTTCAATATCATGCTTATCATCTGAGAGTGCTGTGGTCAACTTGTTAACCTGGATTGGTTAACAATAAAATTTCTACAACTTCATCATCCTCTTGGTTTCATCACTCTCAGTGCGGGATTCCCATCGATCTCCGAATGGCTCCGCGCTCCCGGAACTCAGGAAATGGAATGCCATTCTGAGGTCGAGCCTCCGTCCATTCTCTTTCATGATTTCCCGCGGTCAGACATTCGGGAGCATGTTTTCCTCGTCTTTTGTTCAGCACGTTCCCTTGAAGCTCCGCTCCCGGAAGCCCTCACGGCCCAGGAAATACAACTCGGTGGCCCCGGTTTGTAAAAAACGCAATATTTCAGAGCAGGCCAAATCTCAAACGATAAAGTCGAACGCCTCGTATGATAATCGAGTGGATTCCCGTGCGAGGGTGATACCCAAATTCTAGGAGGAGGGAGAATATTCCAAAATTTCCAAATGTAATAAAGCTCTGTAGAGAGGAGGGTATGAGGTTACTCATTTCAGTGCAGAACCGTCCGTGACTCCCTTCGTCGAAGCTAAGATCCACCGCCGATCAAACTTCTATCTTCGAGTCTTCAGCAAAAAAAGAGATCGCGAGGCGCGATCGCAGTGGGTTTGACTCGAGATAAAAGTTAAGGGAGGGTCTGTGCTACAGTAGTCGTGAATTAGCGGAATATTCACATGGTGCTCTTAAAACTTCTCAGTCGGGATCCCCTCTCCACCTTCAACAAGCTCCGAGACTATCCTGTCAAGCCAGCTGCTCGCTCGCTGATCGGAGGCACCGAGTCGATCCCGGAATCCGAAGCTTCTTGCTGATGATTTGGGATTGGGGCGAACGAGCAGTGAGTCACCTCTTCGAAGATCTGATGCGGGGGCAGGGTAGACGTCGAGAGAGCGGTAAGATACCTAAATCGGAAGCCAACCGGATGTCCTGACCTTTCATGGCAAGGGATTCGAGATATCTCTCAAGATGATGAATTTAGCGATCCTCCTCCGAGTCGCGGCGGAGAGCTACGCGGGTATCGTCGGCGGCAGATCCGACGGTGGGACCTCGAATGAAGTTAAGCCGCCTCTGAGCACTCGAGACGTTCGTTTCCGATCCGGGGGAGCGTCAGGCTGATTCCCGGAGGAACGACGCTCTAGGCTTCGGAGTTTGCGGTCAGCGAAGGAAATTCTCCGATGAATTCCTACATCGGAAGTCATACCAGCGCTGCCGCGGAGTCTCCTGAAAGCTATCTTCAAGGTCCTGAAGCAAGAGACGACAGGGCATCCCATGAATTCCCGGAGAGAGGCCCTCCATACCTCGATAGAGGGGCCGATCATTACCGCAGATTTCTTCCGGAATTTCAGAGTCCGCCCGCTGTACTCCAGACCTCAGTCCGAAAATCCTGAGTGCGGCGATCTCCCGTGGATATTCTGAAATTATTCGCGACTCTGTACGTTCTATGAGCCTCCTGGTGGTTCTGCGTCCGCTGCTCGGGATATCTCTGGCGAGTTTCCGAAGGAACAGGGTGTCGAAACACTTGCCGACGACCAGAGAGGAGGTCACGGCAACGAGCGAGAGGTCACAGAAATTCGAGCGGGAAACGGGAAACGCGTGCCAACTTGAAACATCATTCAGCCGCTAGCGGGAGCGGACTGAGATAGGAAGATCCACAAAACTACTCGATGCATATTCATTTAGAGCCCATTCATTCGAATCGCTCTGGTCCCAGTCGATGGCTCGAGATTTCTCTTCCAGAGCCTTCATTGTCGGTGGTCAGTGCTCAAAGGTGAACGTATTCCTTACGTCAAATCCGAGTGGACAAGCTTTATTGAATAACTACGGATCATCTACAGATTTTTTTTTCCGGAGAAGAGATTCCTTCATTCACAAAGTTCGATTCTGTTCGCGACCAGAATCAGCGTGCGATGTCTTCATCCTGTCATGGAGCGAAAGCAGATAAATAGAATGAACACGAAGCTCAGGACGACTGAGAGAGTAGGCTCTCTGCCTACGAACTTTGGCATTTGTGGGGAGGCCGCCGGGGACTCAAGCGACGCAGTGACAGTGAAAGATTTCCGAACAGAATCCTGTGCGCCACTGCTGACTCTGACATTCCTTGCGACACTTGAGGTGCCCCCGCATACAGTCCTCCATAGGGAAGACCGGTGGGTCCATTCCTACAGAGCTGCTCGGGAGGTCATTCGACGAGCCTCCTTTCTCGAATGCTGCAAAACATGATGCTGAATCTCCGCGGACCAGTCGACGGAATATCGAATATAGCCGCAGATTGAAGTCGGCTCGATCTTAAGCATCCGAATAACTCATGAAGGCAGGGATGTGGAACATGCCTATAACTCACCGCGAGCAGAAGCGGAGTCGGTCAGAGCGACCAGAAATGCGAGAACTAGAAGGGTTTTCGGAAATGATTTCAACATTTTCTTCGATTTCTGAAAGTGAAGAATCACTGTGAGCGTCCCAACGGCAGGACCCGGGCCGAGCGATATTCTAGCAGAGATCCGGGCGGAAGACAGCCATAAGCCCACGGAAGGCGTTGTATAACGCAAAAATAATCATTAGCGGTGAGATTTGCGATCAAGTGCGTCGGAAAGCGCGAAAAAACATCGCTGAGTCATCAATCGAGTCAGGAAAACGTACGTGTGGGAGATTCACAGTATGGAGTCTACACACGCAAACCTTCTTAAATGCCGAACGTCTCCACGACAACGAGTGCAACAGACTCGCATCGATGAAATGCCTCGAATCGAACATGAGGGCTGAACTGTGTTCGTGGCGTGCTTTCACACCGAGCGACGCCGGAACTCAAGGAGAGCTCCCGAATGATTCAGATTCTTCGTACAGGTGTTTCGACTTTCTAAGAAAGTTAACCCGACGCGAGTCCCGCTTGGATAGCCGGGTGTTTCATAGCCGTCTTACGCACTTTCGTAACGGAAAGATCCTCAGCGAGCCTAGGCAGAATCTCCAGAAATTATTATATTTGGCTTGATGCACAGCACATTAGTGAACGCTCCATATGATCGGCAGACAGTTGTGATTTCGCCCTCGTCGATGGGCCGTCGGCGTCGAGGGAAGCGTTCGCTAATGGAATGTCAATATGTATCGATTCATTGCACGAGTTCTTGCGGCCGAAATCGGTTCGGAAGCATGTGGCTCCGTCAGTCAATTCACCCGGACGAATAGCAGGGTACCGCCTTACTCAACTTTCGCGTGAAACAGGGAGAGAGACTTCGTAGGTCCTTCGACCGACTCTCCACAAAAGAACCTGTTGAGTTGGAGAACAGAAGACACAGATAGTCACCTTCGCGGCTATGCTGATTGTATCAGGCACTTTGGCGTCGTCCGAGTCTTCAGGTCAGTTGAAAGTGATATTCTCCAGAATGCCGAAGATACGTTTCTGCGTTCTCGTCCAACACTCTCATCAGTCTCGCAACTCCTCACGCTTTCTGGGAGAAACTCGAGACCGAATGGAACGATCCACAGCTCCGGCACAGAATTCGAAAAAAAAACTAAGAATAGACTGACGGATTGCTTAATAAGCACCGTCGGTACTTCAAGAGAGCGTTCAGCCGTCCATGTAAAGCCTCGAGAGCCGCATCGTCGTAATCCGCAGTGGATGGCATATAATGTCTACCGACGAGACTTCGAGATCTACTACGTGCAGACCTCATCGACCTGACTCCACTGATCGCAATTATCTCGCTGTTGGAACTGCAGCGTACGGAGGAGTAGGCAAATCGGAGAAGGGGGGAAATCATCGCGAGAATGCTCACTTAGGATCTTCGTTTGTGGGTCACACGGAAGCAAGCCCAACGCACGCAAGGTCAACGAATTTTCACGGTCTTGGAAGCGTAGAGGATCATAAAGGAAATCCATTAAAATGATTTCCAGCAAGAAACATCTGGTACGTGACGAGAGTTTCTCCCCTACTCGCGAGTGCGATAAAAATCCGCTTCAGAGCGTTTACTTTGAACCACCCGGCCTTATTCCGTTGGACGATCTGCTCCGAGCGGAGCCCCGATCTTCACGCGAGGTTAGCGGATAATACCGAGTTGAAGGAAATTATTCCACGCCCTCACTGTACTCGGAGCGAGTTTCTGAGAAGCAATCCACGGATGACTCACGGCGCAGAAAATTTTCACGGAACACTCCGGCGACGAGTGACAGATATCGTGCTGCTTCCTCCGGAGATAATAGCCGGTACTCTACCTATTTCGCAGAAATCACATGAGAAAATCGAGGGGACTCCTTTGCTTTCAGTCTCTACACGCTGGTAGGGGGAGATACATATATCGGTTCTCACAAGCGGAAACACGTACTCCGGTGCTTGGAACCCCGCTGTACCAGGCTCGCTTTGAATCGAGTCCGAAGTCATGCGCTTTAGACTTGAGATTGAACTTTCAAGAACAAGAGAGGGTAGAGAAATAAAGTAATCAATATCCTGCAATCCATCTAGGTAGATTACCTTTCTGTGATGGATGCGTCAGTTCATCCGACGACGGTGACACTGTGGGAAGCCGGTGAGCTGTTCTCGGAGAGGCGACTCGCGGTCTTATTGATATCTGCTCCGTGGCGCAGTCGCTTCCACTCGCCACTTTGCGAGAAGGTAAATCAGCGAAAGCATTCGAACGCTATGGAATTCCTCCGGGTGAGGGACAGTGAGGATGTTTCTTCGTGAAGAACGATAGATGAGGTCATCCGTGACGACGACGTCGGCATCTTCGTCGTCTATGTAACATTCAGTCGGTGACGCGAGACTGGTAATCCCTCGAAAGTCGGCGACGACTGCACAGCTCCATCGTAGGGTACTCCCTCAGCTCAGATGGGGACAACGTTGGTATTCCCGGAGTGGGGGGTCCAGGTCTCACCAGGAAGCGATATCTAGGGAAGCGCGAAAACATCTCATGGGAGACCGCAGACTTGGAAATGTCAGATATCCTGCCAGGGCCCCGATGTGATCGAAATTTTCCAACAAATGCCACCGGCGCGTTGAAATTCCGAAGCTTGCTCATGCGACTGCACCCGCATGAAGTTCTAGCAACTCGATCGAGTAAATCGGACTTTCGAGTCCCGGCAGCCAGCGCCTGTCCCATCCGATCAGCTAATATCGTCGAGCTAAGTCGACCCGCTCGCGAGAAAGGAAGGTCCTGACTCTGATGCATTGAGATCATGTTTCCGGATCGATCTCCGAAGAACCGAGATTCTCACAGGATCGAACAAAGGAATGTGCTACAAGGAGGAACGCGTCCTTCCGCCTCTCAGAAATCTTCCAGAGCATTATTGTGGAGTTGCGCTCATTCGCTCATTCAATCAGCGAGTCGGCTCGAACGGTTATTCAGGGTCTTTCCGCGTCATCGCTCCCGCTTCGTGATCCGACATGTGGTCTCCCTTCAGTTTACGGAGCACCGGGCAAACAACGCTCTCAGGAGAGATTCAGCTCCGTGACCTTCCTCCTGAAACTGGCCTTCTTCGGGGCTCTGCGGCAATGTAGAGTTTCCAATGCTCAGCCGCGCTGTATTCTAGATGATGGGGGAATTGTCTCGAGCGTTCTCTGCTGAGCATTCATCGTAATTCCTGGCTCAGTCTTCACTCACCACCTCATCATCGATCCTGGAGCAGCTGCCCTAGAATCCTCCGGCTCTCAGAGGTCTTGATCGGGTTCCAATCGATCAGAAATCCAACCTATTGCCGCGAGGGAACCAACATATTAGCCAGGGAGAAAATGCACGGGGAAAAGATATACGCGGGCTCCTGCTAGCTAGGGATTCACAGCTTGCCCTCGATCCAAATCTGTTTTCGCTCAATTCGTGAGCCCGCAGGGGGAAAACAGGCAGAAGAGCTCTACGGGATTCGTGAGGATCTACGACGGCTTACCTGCGGGACTCCCGGCAGTGATATGAGGAGTCGAGGAATCTACTCAACTCACACGGAGCTCTCCCAAGAATGCCATCAGCGGCACAGAATCATCAGAATCATTATCAGAAAGAGCTCATGTGCCGCAAAACAAGGCCGAAGGGACCCGATCGGAAACGAACTCTTGAGCTGAACCTCCTACTCCAGGACGGGCAGAGACCAGCAGAATATCGTTCATAATTAACAGAAGAAGCGCGCTGGCTACAGTGATATGATCCCGAACATTCGACCAGGAAGACTTCGATTTCATACAAGTTGGGTTTCTCTCGGTGGATCCCGGAGCCAAGCAGCGCTCCGAAGTTTCGGGAGTGATTCCCCGCCGAACGGACGCTGCTGTGCGCCCGAGCAGCTGTCTTGCGCAGATGAGAAGCAATGGTCGAGGATCCGGGGATATTGAGGTATCGGGCTCTTCGGCGACCAAGAGGCTGACAACACTAATTTCGATGCCTTTCGTTTCCAGGGTCCTGCGGACGCCTCGGAATCACGTAGACTAGTTCTGACGACCCCAGGCGATCTGATTTTAATCAGAGCTCTATGAAGAGTAACATGAAGTAAAATGAAGAACCTCTGATCACGCTATAAAGAGCGGCTGCACCCGCCCCATGCTTGGGACGCTCTTCGATCATGACATGGATATTGTCGAGTAAGTGAGGCCGGAGTTTCACAACAGGACAAAGTGTATCATTATACTTTGGGTTCCATCGATGCATATTCCGGCTTCCATGATAATTCACACGGAATACATAATACATATACATCCCTCTTATGCGACTCCTTAGCAGATTATCCGGGTCTCGTCTTTTCGTTGATGCCAATTTTTTTTCTGGTCCGTCATCAGGGTTGCATGATCGAAGTCCTTAAAGAGCCCTGATCTCTCCAGCCAATCTCCGAAATCGAAGGCGTGCACTCCGGACATGTATTCTATAGGTACTTACGTGAGTTTGTCGCTGAATCACGCCGAGGTGCTCGGCATCATAGGGAGGTCCCGAAGCTCTGATTTCACTTCAGATATTATTCTATTGATCATACTGAGACTCCTGGGCTCAGTCTACAAAAAGGATATCCCGTCAAGGATGGCTTTAAGAAATATTATTCATGTGCGTTTAGTCTGTACCGCGCAGATAGGAGGATTCCCGAGCGACTGACGGCCGGCGACAATCCGACATGATGTATCTTGCGAGGAGATAGATTCAATCGAATCGATGCCAAAGCATGAGGGAGATGGTCGGCGAAGAAAAGGTAGTGTGTTCCCACTATGAACGGACAGAGGTCTGACTCGCCATCCCTAGTCTAGTTCGGTAGCGCATCTACAGATGATCAGCCGAAGAAAGAGACCTCTGATCCGTTGGGAGATGCCTCCTCCCCAGTATCGGGGGAGCACCTGTACCAAGCTTCTCCTCGGAGGAGCCAAGCTTGGTTGAGCAATCTCCGCCGTCGACCTTCGCTTGTGCCGGCGTATACCGGACTTCAAAGTGGATTGAACTCGATGCTCTATGTTGCGACTAGATGCGGTTCTCGGATTCGATTGTTCTATCGGGTGCGGAACTCAATCGAGATCAGACTTGAGATTGAGATGCGGTGGAAATCGCGCTCCGAGCTCAAATGATTGAGTGTCAGGCTCTAGGTCCTAGATTACATCCGGGAGCTGATGAGGCATTAACCTGAACGAAGCTCTCTATGGAATGGATCCATCAACTCATTCGAAAATACAGTGGGTGCATCGTCAAGGACTTCTTGAGGATGGCAATAATGGCGAATCACGCGTCCCAAAAACACTTGGCTGAGAGCGGTGTATTCCAGACGTGAGGCATGGAAGTAGAGATCGAGAGCAATTCCGATGTGATTAGAGCTTGCTGAATCCTGAATCCCTCGAAAGACTCGAATTAGAGAGAAGCGGTTTCATCGGAATCTGAGAGGGGGCAGCAGGGGAGGCTTTCCGCATGGACGGCGATCTTGGCGAGCGACGCGACGCCGGCGGTTTTGGGTCTAAATTGCTGGAACCATGGTTCGCAGAGACCTTAGGACTTCTCGCTCGAAATATTGGACAATACTTTTCGAACGGAAAGAACCGCCTACATACGTGATTTCGGAAACCGCGATTTCCGGCCGAGAGGAAGCTGCACGCTACAATAGTGTCGCGTCTCTATGCCTCGAGAAAAACGGGAGCGCTTCGGGGCATGTGATTGGTGAACAATATGATTCCTATATGTACATATACGAATGATGAGGACGGAGCGATAGCATAGGCGCGATGGTTCGCCGAAGCTGTATTAAGCGTCTTCCGACTTGAACGTGTCGCCGGCAGGTCACTCACCACGTCGAGCCCTCCATCCAAAGAGAGCCAGGCCGGTTCGAAGTCTCAGCCCGCTCGAGGATATGACGCGAAGCTCCTCATACATCATCGACCAGAGGTCGGATTCAAGACCTCAGAACCTTGAATTTCAACAGAGTGGAGAATGAAGACGAGAGACTGGTGTATATGCGGAAGATC